TTTTAAGCAAAAACAAAAGGAAATTATTAATAAAAACCCGGCAAACTTCGGCAAGGGAAAGTTCTCGATCGGGCTGGAAAACTCCGATCGACAAGTTGGGTGAAACCCACAGGCGGCTGGAAAATTCAGCAGAGAACAAAACCGTCTGTTTCCCCCAGGGGAGAGATAAGCAGGCTTTTACTGCCGAGGAGTAAAAGTGGCCTAATTCGCAAACTACACGGGATATTATTTCGCGAAATTGTTAAATTGCGGAATTCAATTAATGGCACGTTGTCCCATTTGATGGCAAGTCGGGTTAATTATTCGATATTTGATTGGGCGCTCATAATTCGTCCAATATTAGACGAATATCCGGATTCACTGGGCGGGGATTTATTACCATTATGCAATATTCCGGCTGCAAAGCAGAATATCGGTTTGGCACAGCCGGAATTCTCGTTCGCCTCCAATTGTGTTTGGGAAACAATTCCCAATTTCAAATTGCCCATTTTTTCGGCAAAACCCCATTGGGGACATTTTTGATCAAGCTTCTTGATTGAGTCGTCGACTAGAATTTCCTTCAACTCCCTTGATTTTTTTAAATTCACCGAATCTAATCCAGATTTAAAAACGATCTACCTGCAACCCCTAGTGGCAAGTTTGCGACACTAAACGCCGTTCCCCATTTGAACCCAAAAATGTTTCATATTTTAAGGGATAAGGCCTTGTCAGAGGGGACTGAATCTGAGCTTGATGAATAGGCGACGCTTTTCCCGGTTTTATGTTCCTTTCAGGGCCAATTTCGGATTGCCAGTCTAGGCTCGTAGAAAAGCGATCGTCGATCTCTTGTGGGTGGCGAAAACGGCAAAAAAACCGGACTGGATTAAGTGATTATTGATCTGCCGAAACCCCCTAATCTAACAGATACTCCGGAAGATCTCCATTTTACAGCAAACACATTTATTCATCGCCACTAGTCACTTTAGCTGCACAGTTCCAAATCCAACTACTGCCGTAAAAAGTTAAAGCTCTTAAAAAACTTCCACGCGGACCGAGTAGCAGCTTCAAAGTTTTACACCCCATAGAATCCACTTGACTCCGAAAACCCTGAAATTTGTACCGAAATCACCAAACATGCATTTTTTTAAACCTGTAAATGCGGGGCAGCAAATCAAAATTTTTGTTTATTTTTATTTGTGTTTATAGATTGTTAAAAAATGTGGTTTTTCAGTTTTCACAGATTTTTTTGTTTTACTTTCTGCTCAAAAACGCTCTATTTTGTAGAGTTTCACTTAAAAATACTGACAATCAGAGGTATTTTCCGCGAAAAATTATGAAATCTATTTCGAATCTTTCRTAGCTTTCTAAAACGTTTTTAAATCCTTTTCCAGCGTTGAATTTGGAGGAAAATCACACAATTTTCTATCAGAAAACTAACAGAATAAGCGAATGTTTATACCAGATTATTTGGAAATTTCGTCACCTCCATTCCTCTGAAGCCTGTATAGATTGTTAAAAAAATGTGGTTTTTCAGTTTTCACAGATTTTTTTGTTTTACTTTCTTCTCAAAAACGCTCTATTTTGTGGAGTTTCACTTTAAAATACTGACAATCAGAGGTATTTTCCGCGAAAAATTATGAAATCAATTTAGAATCTTTCGTCGCTTTCTAAAACGTTTTTAAATCCTTTTCCAGCGTTGAATTTGGAGGAAAAATCAAACAATTTTCTATCGGAAAACTAACAGAATATGCGAATGTTTATAACAGATTGTTTGGAAATCTCGTCACCTCCATTCCCCTGAAGCCTGTATAGATTGTTAATCTTTACCAGTTTTTTACCATCTTTTTAAGTGTTTAACATCAATTTCCGCGCAGATAAAGACTTGAAATTTGCATCAAGTATAGAAAACAGCTGCATCTGAATGCCCAGAAATTTAGATTAAAAACCCACTGAATCCTGATTTTTTACAACCTTGTGAATCATGGGTCGAAAGTGTATATGTTGCAGCAAATGCACGGGCTCTTTTGAAAATTCCTCACTTCCCATTGCGGGATCGCAACCACTTGAAATTCGCACACCCTATAGAACGTAGCCGCACCTAAAAGTCCAGAAAGTGTGGTTTGCAACACAAAAAATTCGGATTTTTTGCAATCTTGTAAATATTGACCCAAAAACATTTGCACTTAAATGCAGGCTTTCCCTAAAAAATTTGCAACTTCCAACTCCGAGCAAGCAGCAATTTGAAATTGAGACACCCTATACGAAACACTCGCAGCTAATCGGGCGCCCGATTTCATTAAAATGATTTTGAATGCTGATTTTTGCCAGCCCTGTGAATGATGGGCCGAAAGTGTTAATTTTCACTCAACTGCTCTGCTTTAAAAATCCTTTTAAACTTTCAGTGCTGGGGAGATAACAACATGGAATGCTACAAAACAACAAAAACTATAGAACAAAACTCTAGAAATTTTTACACGAATCACATAAATGGCAACATTTTTTTGCAGCACAACACTGCAAGCT